TGAGCAGGTCATTCTGTGTTATGGCTTTCCTCGGGTTGTCTTTCCTGGCATCCTTGATTGAATGTTGAGCTGCTTTCCTATTCTTATTACTGGATATCACTCCGGACATCCGTGCCTGTGAGTGGGGTTTTTGCCTGGCTCTCCTCGGGTTGTTCATTCCGATATCAGTGATAGAATGTTGAACGTGTTTTTTTCCCAGGTTTTCACTTCCTGGTTTCCCCTTCTCTATGGTCCCCCTGTCCTGTGTGTCTTGGAATGTTTGGTTCCTATCTGTTTTTTGTGGTCTGTTTCCCTGGTCTCCCACGTTTATGTTTGTGCTTGTGTACTTTTCTTTTTTGTTTTAAGTCTTCGGAGTTTTACCTGACCCCCCCTTCCTCTACCCAATAAAGGTTTATACCCTGGAGGAGGGGACAGCTCTCAGCCATGGACTCCCGGAGGTTTCCTTTCAGTTACATTAGGTTTTTCCTCCCCTCAGTGCTGTGCAGCTCACATATTTGTATAGGCATCAGGAGCTGCCCATGAAGGGGGGGGTTACTGTCACGCCCTCTGCAGCCAGAGGGTGCTCCTATTCTTTCCTGTCCCTAGTTTCCTGTGCTTTGCTGTCCTTCCAGTGTCTCCCTCTCTGGGGCTATATATTTCCGGGTCACTCATTCACCTTCACTCAGCATTGACATTCAGATGTCCTGAGACCCGCATAGCACCAGGCCGTATAGATATACGGCAATTCCAGAACTCTTTGCACTGCTGAGCCCGGTCTAACTCTCCGTTCCACCGCTTCACATAGGGTCTTTTTCCACTCTCCTGCCATTCCACGGTTCATCCCTTCCAACATCCGTGACACTACATAATTATGCATCAGTAGCCCAGTCTCCCTAGAAGAATAGAAGTCACACTTTAGAAACCAAAGAGCCCTAACCACTGCTGTATACAAAATACTTAAGTACAAATACTTAAGTACAAATACAATGATGCATCCCTTCTTTCTGCACATTACAGAGTGTTTCCATGCTTATAGGTTTATATGCATCTCTGAGTCAGGCTACACCTTACTCTGTAGTTACTCTGCAATGTTATGTCTATGTCCAAAAACCTAGTTAAAATATCCTGCTTGTAAATTCCAGAATTATGACACATAATAGAGTTGAAGCTCTCGGGACAAGTTTAACCATACACCCCAGAGACAGCCACACAACATTTAAGACTCTTAATCTTCACCTGTCTTTCAGGGGCCTCCTGGTATTTCTGGAAAACGGGGAAGGAAGGGAGATCAAGGAAAAATCGTAGGTATCTTCGCTTTATCTTTCTTTTGACATTGACAACAATGTACAGATTTTGATTAGTGGTCAAACAGTTAGTGTCATGTTATCCAGCTCAAAGTTGGGGCAAAGTGTTACTAGTGTTGCGATGTTATTCTCGAATCTTGATTAGCGCAGGATTTTAACTTTAAAGCTAGTCATGACACTTTGAAGTGGCAAATATTAGTTATATGCACACCATACTATAATATAGGAACAGGTAAAAGTTTATTCCAGGCTGAAAAGAAAAGAGATGCAAAATTTCAGCTGTGGACACACTGGAAGAAGCGTCCAAAGCCGAAACATTGTGTCTCTTTTCATTTCAGCATAGAATAAACCTTTACTTGTTCTTTTGCAGTCTACGAATGCTGATGCAACTACTGCACCTACTTGAAATTACTATAATATATATTTACTATGGTTGGAGCACTCCTTTGCCTAAGAGTTTATAGGATCACAAGAACTCTGAATTAATGTTTGAAAT